ACACACACACACACACATACTACTGTCCACTCAGCATCTGACTAAAATCAAAGTTTGACTCACCAGTGAGCTCATTATAAGAGAATGTGCTTTGTGTGTGTGTTTCTGCTTCACATTTGAACCTTTATACTAACATCAAATTGCCTCCTGTCCCCCTGCCAGGCTGCCCCTGTTGATATCCATGCATGTCTAAATTTCAGCTACAATTCATTTTTGAAAAAAGGACTACTGAGCTCAGCAGAGTGACTGAACGTCTTCTAATTTACACGCTGAACTCATTTCAGCACAAGACAATTCCTTTTTTATTTTACATTGACATAGCTCTATAAAACCCGTCGCACACAAATCGGAAAATGTGTGCCTGTATGAGCAATAACGTATAAGTAATGTGCACAGGACATCTACACAGAAGCTTATTTAGAGCTGAAACAATTAAGCAAAACTGCAAATATTCTTTGATCAAGCTTCTCAAATGTGAAGATCTGTTGCTTTTCATAAGTCTTGTATTATTCTGAACCGAATATCTGAATTTTAGGACAAAATAAGACATCTGAAGTTGTAACTTCGGGGCTCTCAGAAACTGTGATAGGCATTTTATAGAATTAGCAACTAATTGATAATATAAAAAAATATTGTTAGTTGTTAATACTTACTTAATAATACTGAAAATTGTCATATTTTTAATAAAATAATTGCCACTTTATTAATTAACATTTTTGCTGGTCTTCTTTGCTGTCTATAACATACAACACAAGCTGTTTGAAGAAAATTATTGTTAGAAATGAGCAAAAAGTACTCATATTTCTGCCTGGACAAACTACTTTAACTCTCCCTCCACTTTTAACGGCTATATAAAGGCAACGATTATCAAAAGCCTCAGTCATAATGTCACTAAGACACAGTCTTCAACAAACAGTTCAATAAGTACAGTTCAACAAAGGTAGAGCTGGTGTTTGAGGGAGCAGATAGTTCTGTATAGAATAAAATGTTCCCCGGACTAACTCATTGATGGTGAAATCTTTAATTTAGTGGCAGCTTTAATCCACCAGGCCTTACAGTAGGAGTCCAGCCCCTGTAAGAGTGGGAGCCTCACTCAGTTTTACTGCCACATTTTACCAACTGATCCACATTTGTGCAGGAAATCTTCCAACTTTTGATGACTGATCATCCAGAGCAAAATATCTTGGCACAATGTGCAGCAGAGTACTTTTACTGTAAATGAACTCACAAGGAAGCAGAGAAGGACTGGCAGACAATAGCCTGCATAGTAAGCTTTGCCTGCCTCACTCGATTTCTTTCACACAAGCACCCACACTATGGAGGAAAGCCTCGAAGGAAGCTTTTACTGTACCAGTGCCTTCCTGTGTCTGTCATAATGTACAAGATAATAGGCTAAGTGACTGGCCTACATCATGAAAATGTAATAGAATAATCTACTCCACATACTCAGCCACTTTAAGTAGCCCAGACTCAACACATGCCTGGTTATTATAGACTGGTACACACATTATTGTCAGTCTAAAACAATAAAAACAGGTCAGTCACCCGCTACCTTTCTGGGTGCTGCCTTTCGTTATTCCAGAACTGTACTGGGACAATACGTTCAATAAATGTATCTACTGTTTATAGTGGAGTAGCTATCCCTATTGTATTGTACTAGACCATTGTGTACAGTGTTGCAAATAAATAAACTGGACTGTTTAATGGCTAAATTAGACCTATGTCCTATATGTTTTGTATTATTGTTGTGAATTACCATAATACTTCAGGCATTTATTTGACAAAATAGTTTTTTAATCCATAAAACGTTTCTCATTTTTTCTATACCATGGTGTGATAGGTGGTTTTCAATGTTGCCTCCAACTAAGTCCACTGCCTCCAGTTTTATGGTCTTCTGCCTTTTCAAACTACATTCATGAACACACTCATGGGCCCCTTATTTTATGGTTAGAGATCTCTTTCGAACCATGCATAGATCCAAATGTGTTTAAAGGTGTGCATCAATTGATTTAAAGTACAACACATCACATTGGCAATATCTATTTACATCCCTTACATGTATGTGTAGACGAAGAACCAGCATATATCACAATGAAGCTTAAAGATGATGTGCCAATATTGTGACTTTATTTTGAAATATAAAAAGACATGTGGCCTGTGTTGTATGTTGGGACATCTCTATCAGACTGACTGTAATATGATCCTTACAAAGGTGGTAAAACAGTTCTCACCTGCAGCCTCCGTCTTCGGATGATCCCAGAATCATCCATGGCGCGTGGATCACACCTGTCGGACAGTCTCGTGGCTCCTGTGGTTTCCAGGTGACGGGGGCGAGAACAAGCCCCACTCTCGCGTGGCTTTCAGCGTGCCAGCACGGCTTGTTTATTCACAAATAAACCGATATGCTCATCATTTACCAGCGAGAAGCAGGTAATATCAGCGTGTAAAATAATACCATACGGCAAACAGAGAGATATAAACGTTATCTTCTCTGGCGCACAACAACATTAACAAAGAAAACTATCAAATATGACCAAAGTATTTCAAAAAAAGTGCCGCTCTTGGGCTCGACCCCAGCCAGCATCCAGGCAGAGACTGACACAGACTACTGACTAGGCTGCTCTGTGGTGGGAACTGCTGAATAAGCCTCTCTGCTGCACGGTGGGATCAACTGAAGTCCAGCTGAGAGACAGAGGAGAAACCCCCCGAGCAGCGCGCACTGTCACACAGAAGGTTATCACACCACAGATGAGATAAACCAAACAAGTTTGCACACATCTTCACCTCGGTTCCCTCACAGCTCAAAACCAAAATATGAATACTGCAAGCAGCTCATTGCAGCAGCAACACCCAGCTGTCATCCTTTCAAAGAAAAAAAGAAAAAATGCCTTCTATCACAAGGGATCCTCTGTCCGTCTGTGAACCACTTCGCTGCAGCAATCCGCTACATGTTAGTCCACATTCAAACACTCAGTGTGTGTGCTGTGGAGGCACCGGTGCATGCATGTACACGGAGTCCATTGCATATTGCACATTGCTACACAACGATTATATGACACACATCCAGGCGCTGTCAAGAGCTGTCTGTGTGCATTTAAAAAAAGACGAGATCAATGAGAATCATAGCGACTCTATACGTCCATCTGGGGAAAGACACGCACACACATACACACACAGACACACACACACATCGGCGCTGAAAGCAGGTTGATAACTTCACGTTTTCGTCCCCTGGTGGATTTGTCCGTTTCCCGTGCTCTCTCTCAGGTATATACGATGCGTTCACGCTCCTCTTCTCCGGTGTGACATTGCCTTTCTCGCGGAAAATGATCAGTGGTTGCTACACAGGCTTCGCTCCATCCACAGCTCTTACCACCCACTTCCTACTACCAAATGACGTTTAACCCTTAAGCGACCAGAGGCTTGTCTTCCTTGCATTTATCAGGTACTGTTTTGTTTTTTTTACTATACTACTTGTCAAGCCCACATTACCTGACAAAATTCATCTTTGCACAATTTTCAGGTGCATCTGTCCAAAAATGGCTGTAGACCTGAAACGATTAGTCAATTAATCGATTAGTAGATTAAGATTATTGTTAAATTGTCTCATTAATTATAAAGAATGGCATTGTGACAAAATGCTGCTCATTCGCGGGTTCCAGCTTCTCAAATGATTCACTTTCTCATATAAAATAGTCAATTGAGTATCTCTAGTTGTGTTGTGAGCAGTGTTGCTAAGAAGGAACCATTCTTGCTGTTTTCCAAGAAAATGTACTGCATCAAGATCAGAGAGACAACAGCACTTGTTTTTATTATTTATTAATCAGCTGACTATTTTCTTAATTGATTGAACCCAAAACTTTGATTATAAAACACAGAACAGTTTTCACCCTTGGGAAATAATTCTCAAGAGTGAGAAGTTGGAATAGGAGGTGGTTGGCATTTTAAATAATTACTATATTATGATTATAATGGCAGAATAATTGTATTGCTTAATCAACTAATCATTTAAGTCCTAAAAATACATGACATATTACATCATACCTTGATAGAGGACATTCATAGACAGCCCTCTCTATGGGGGTGAAAGATCTTGCCCAACTTAATATGACCCATTACCTAATGTGCACAGAGAGTTACTCAGTTACTCCACAGTTAAAGTGCTTTATCAATATGTGTTTATGCTGTTTTGTCTGCCCATAGACCATACATGGGCCTGGACATGTAAATTACATTGTCTAACTGAATTAACAGTCAACACAGCCTGCCGTCATGCTTCCATTGCTATTTCAATGAAAAATGGCATCAACCATTATGCATTATTCAACATTCACACCTGTCACACATGGAATTCACTGCCACTAACATTTCACAGCTCCTCACCCTTCAGTTACTTGCATCCCTGATCCACATGTTAATGAATGAACGTTGGCATAGAAACAAATTCCCACCATGGTGATTTTAAAGAGAAAGATCTGGAGTGCTGTTGACATATTAACTGGAACTGCATGTCTTCTGGAGGTCTAATCTCCATAGCAAGTGAACCACCCTGTCCCCACGGAGTCTGCCAACAGATGTAGGATGTAACGTCAATAGAATGAATGCATTCCCTGATCAATACTAAAAGAAAGTTGCCACTAAGCAGTACTAATCACTGATTATACTGAAACATTGAAGGGCAAAGTCCATCGCTGTGTTCACACAATGTGGTGTGTTTGTCAGGATGATGTTTCACTGTTAAACATTCTCACAAGAAAGAGAGAGAGAGAGAGAG